TATAGAAAGACCTGTTTTTTTTTCACTTATAAAAAATAACCATGGGAATTATATTGTAATGACCAAACACAAGAAAATCAAAAGGTGATCGCAATATGTAAAGCAGATCAAAGAGTGTTCCAAGTTTTACCTTGATTTGCGAATGAAAAATGAATGCCTCAAGGGAAGAAGTTGCTCTGTCAAATTACTTCCTCTCATAGACATAATGAAATCCATTTCCTCCAAATCACACTTGATGAAGGATAGCTGCATTAGAAAGCAGCAAAGGTTTAAAGCCAAACAACAGAGATAAAGTACAACAAAAAAGACCTTCGCCAGTAATTTAAACTCCTCATTGGAAATTGCAAAACAAATATATGCTGCAAATAATTATGTGATGCATAGTTAATTGTTAGGCAAATTATGGTTTGCCAACAGTACAGAACTCACATCAATGGAATGCTCTTTACCAAATCATCCATTTTCCCGTCAACATGGAGTTGCTTTAACTAAATTTTCCATCTCTTTTGTAAAGAAATGGGTAATCAAGAGGGAGCTTAATTTCCAATTTGAAAGCTTTTTTTTTGTGCAGCATACATTCATGCCCCTTATTTGTTATTTGAAAGGTCTCCTTTCATTCACAAACATGCCATATCCACTAATGTCGCTATCTTATTTTGCTTTAGAAAGGCATCTACCACATCATAGAGCTTCAAATCTTAAGCATATAGTCTTTATCGAGAACAAAAGTAGTAATTTTTTCCCCTTTTTTTTCTCAGGACAAGCAGACCATACTTGATCCTCCCTAACTATCAAAACTTAATGAAAATACTTTCTTTCCTTTTTATGGCATCCTGTTAACACCGTGTTCATGCTCTTGTTATTGACCTGTCCCCTCTTAGTTTACCTATTCATTTTGTTGATTTTTTTCCCTAATATCCATAGAAAAGACCAAATTAACTCAATGCAGATAGGGCATAAAACTAATAATGATGAGAAGTACTAATTACAAACTACTTATGGATTTAAAGCTATTTGTCTCAAGAACACCTCGGCGAGTTTAGATTTAAAACAAAATACAGAAATGTTTAGATCTAAGAAGATAAATTTATCCAAACTATTTCACTCCATTAAGCATGGAGGCTGAAAATCATGTCAATGACAAAACATGGATGGTGCAAACATACCTCAAAGGCTAAACATGAAGTTAGAAAAAAAAATGAAAATCGCTATGCCTTTTGCACAAATTTAAAGCCAAATGGCATTTTCGTATATACAAAGTATTTTTTGTTTTCAATTGTTAGAAATTTAGAGGACAAGTAATTAGACTAACAAGTGCATGAATAACGTCACCCGCCAAACACAGTCAAGCAGCAATGCAATCAGATTCTCCTTTTTAATACCTTCATGGGAAAATATATCTACTTCAGCTGCCTGGAGACAGACAGCAACCAGAGAGCACAAGTTTTTATGCATCCTAACAAAAACCACATGCTATTTCTTGAAAACCAGAGGAGAAACCCAGACTAAGAGTGATGACAAGCACTAGGGAGCATCTTCAGTAGGAAGAAGTGAATAGGGACACCCATTACTATAAACATTGAAAGGCATGAGGATGATTATCTATTATTCTAGAGAGAAGGATGAGTATTTAGTCTAATTTACTTCTCCATATTCTCACTCTATGCTTTGTTTATCCAAAGCTAAAAGTATGAATCAAACAAAAGAAGTACCTGGAAATGCATTTACAATTTCTAAGATCTAGTGAAAGCTACAATTAGTTAACTTGTTTCCTGAAGTAGGGTAAATATAAAATGGAGGATTTGCAAGACTTCAACTCTAGATATGAGGAACTCAATTTATTTCCCACTTCTAACATCAAATCTTATACTGATTTAAACAGAGTAGAGCTTATGATAACAGATACATACCATGATGTAAAATAGTACAAGAGAAAGACCGGAACAAATTTCATGCCACTCGGATTTTCCAGATATTTTGAACAAGCCAATAAAATCAGCCATCCACTGAAGTGCACTGAGGAACTCTATAGGAAGCTGATAGGTATAAAGCAGTATAATGTTAACGCTTGCATACAGTTGAAGAGGCCTCCACCACCTTCAAGACATGCAATCAAACAAAGTCACTTGAAGAAGTAACAATTGATCTACACAAATTTAGCGCACGTGTCTGTGGGTGTTTGTGATAAAGACGGGGTGGTGAGAGAAAAGAGAGACTCTAGTGTAAGGTTATGTATCCATAGAAACCTGAAAAGTCCAAGAAAGTTGCTTGTTAGAGACCAGTCCACGAGGCCTGCACAGCTGGCAATAAAAAATGGTAGAGAAAGCCATGAGGGATGGCTTATCCCCACACAAAGTTGAATTGCGGGCAACAGCAAACAAGAAGCAACCCTAAGATGTGAGCCTTCAATGAAGGGAAAAAAAATCCAAATCAGTACCTACATCCTTTTTTCAACTCATCAAACCACTTTTACCCAAACAAGCACAAAATAAGAGCTTGGAATTTCATTGTTTTGCTCCAATACAAGGAATGGTATGTTAAAAAGCAAAAAAGAAAACTATCCATGATTTCCCAGACCAGTTCAGTACAATATCTGCCTCCAACATAGTTTTAAAACCTCATTTAAAATCTATCCATTATTTGACCTATTCATTCAAGGTTTTAATGAATGGTTACCCAGAAAAATTTAAAACCTCAATGTCTAAAGAAAATCCTTAAAGGCACAAAAGAACTAAAGCAAAAAACCTCCCCAGTCCTGAGTAGAAAGAGAGGTGCATACCCATCAAATGAAACTCTATTGGTGGTCAGATTAATGAGACCATGATAATGCACTCTTGCATATCCAATTCACAAATGGTGTTAAAATGATAATGCTGAGTTTCTATTTAGAATGTTTATTAGTGAAACAAATAAAAACTAAGTTGTTACATGTGCAACTTCAACCAATAAGAATGATTATAACAGGCATACCATACATTTTAAGAGGGAGATCAATTAAACGGATATAACTTGGAGCTTTGTTAGCTACTTACAAACCTAAATGTTCAAGAAGGTTTAAGAAATGACCCCAGCAGGAATCTCTCCATGGAACCAGACCAAATCTGCTCCCATATATGTCAACTAAAGCAACAAAAACCGCTAATAGTTGTATAACCAAGAAGTAAATTACAAGTGGTGATTTCCAGGAATGGATTCTGCAAAGTTATGTCAAGAAAAAATCTCAATTCATGTGGATGAGATAAGGGGACAAATAAACAAACAGAAAACATCCAATGCTTACATCATAAAACCAGTCAAATGGGCCCACCAAGCATCTGCTCCACTCCATTCATCTCCCAGAATTGCCCAGATGACAAGATACACTGCTTGAGAAAGAATGACTGCTAGGGAAAAGATAATAACGAGCCACAATAAAAATAGTCGCCGTTGAAAACGAAAACCTGTCAGAACAGAATGTTGTGCTATTAGGATAAAGCTCGATGAAAAGGGGCATAAAGAGAACTGCTGCCGGCAATACCAGGTGTAAACGAGGTTCAACTATTTTGCAAGTAAAACATATACTAGTGTTGTCTAAAAATTTCTGTTTCTTTTTAAAAAATCAATTTATGATTGCTCATAACTAATATTAACATGTATGTAATTGCTCACGAAAGCGCTGGACAATCAAGAACATCTTGCCAATGCCACAGTGTAAAGGCAAATTCTTACTGAAGTTCTTAAAGACTCACCTATTTTTGGTGCAGCGTACTGAATAAGAAGGAAAGCTATTAAATCAACAAGAGAAATCAAACTCCAATTGATCAAAGAAGCTGCAAGAAAAGAGGGGCAAAAAGTTGAAGATTTAAAACCCGCCAAGAAAATTAATTTCCCATGAGAGAGAAAGTAGTTTCTAAGCTGCAGCTGATAAAAAGTTCTAATCTTGAAGTTAGTTACTCCAAAAAAAAAAAAAGAACAAACGTATGGATGAAGAATATACATGTTAAGAGTAGGAATGGCAAGACAAATCCAACGAGAAAATTCCCCATTGTTTTCCAGCAGAATCACATTGGTCTCCTTGCCTTCTTATCGAAATTATCCGATTCGATAAAATCACAAGAAACCCCTTAATTGTATTAGATGCCAAAGGTTTGCTTGCTTGCTTGCTAGCTTCCGTCACTTGGCCCGGTTGTTTGTAGAAGGAGACTAGGAGGGGCAAACCGGACGAGGAGGTTTTCCAACATCAAGGACAAGATCTTAAGTTTGTTCGCTTTTACTTTTTACAATCCTTTTACCTACTGGTCAATGCAGTTTTTATAAATGTGATGCGAGATGTCTTAACTTTTTCGATTTCTTAAATTAGGTGTCACGACTCTGGTTTTTATCGATTGTATTACTTGATAATAATTTGTTATTTAAAAATATATTAAAATATATAAAAAAAATTATATCACAAAATTTTAAAACAAATCAAAAATTTTAATTTAAAAAAATATTTAAATATTTAGGAAACCGGGTTCCTAAATGAACACTAATACTATGTTTGTTTTAAAAATATTTTTAAAAGAATTTGAAATTTTTTTTACTTTAAATTAAATTTATTTTGGTATTTTTAGATTATTTTAATATGTAGATATCAAATATTAATTTTAAAAAATAAAAAATATTATTTTAATATATTTTTAAATAAAAAATATTATAGAAACTAATATAATATTAAATTGACTGAAAGTATCTTAACATACTTAATACCAAAATGGCTGAAAGTATCTTAATAGACTTAATTACTTACTCTTCAAATTTTTTTATTTTCCCAATTAAAAAGCATATTTTAGAGTTAATTGGATATAAAAATGGATGGAGGGATCAAATTAAGCAAAAGACTTGAAGTGGAAAGGGAGGGATTAAGGAAAGAATTCAATGAGAGAGACACTTCAGAAAAATATAAAAAAGTAGAGGGACTATCAAGCAAAATAACACCCCCAAAAGCTTAAACAATACCAACAGAAGTGGGCGTGATATTTGTAGCTAGCCATACATTCCTTATCAAATTGCATGCAGCCTTTTGTCTTGGTTGAAGAACAAAAACAGAAACCAATAATATACCATGAACGCTCTCCTCTCAAGCTCAACCTCTCTCTGCAACTCTCACATTTTGAAGCTGACATCCAAACCCACAAGTTTCAGGCTATCATTACCATGCAATACCAATACTACCCAGTACTTGGGCTGCGACAGCTTGAGCTTGAGAAGACGAGCCAGCAACAATGCAAATGAAGTGGATACGCAGACAACAAAAGAAGATCAGGCAACTGAAACAAGTAATCAAGTCTCCAGTTCATCATCTGCTGCCCCACCTGCACTTGATAAAGACCTCAAAAAGGTTGCTTCTATTTTTAACTGGTTTATTTTCTTATGGGTTTCTTTCTTCATGTTGTTCCGTGGATGTTGATGCTTATGTTATTGGTATGAATTGAGCCAAAAGGATGTCTCTCTTTGCATTGCAACAACAGGTAGTTCAAAAGACTGCTGCTACCTTTGCACCCCGAGCTTCCACAGCTACAAAAAATCCTGCTGTACCAGGAACTACCTTGTATACTGTTTTTGAGGTTCAAGGCTATGTCTGCATGTTGTTAGGTGGAGCTCTTTCTTTCAATCTCATTTTCCCATCAAACGACCCTGACATTTGGAGATTGATGGGAATGTGGTCCATCTGGATGTTCAGTAAGCTTAATTCATCCTTCTCTGTTGTTTTCCATTTCTAAATTCATTTATTACTTCATTAGCTCAAATACAAGATGCTAGCAAGCTCTGGTTTTTACGAGTCCAATATCCTCATGGGCATAATTTGATTCAATTAAAGATTCAGTTGCCATTTTGTTTTTGGGCTGGCAGCAATTCCCTCCCTTCGCGCCCGGGACTGCTCCAAGAATGAGAAAGAGGCTCTTAATTATCTATTTCTACTCGTTCCCTTACTCAATGTAACAATCCCCTTCTTTTGGAAGTCCTTTGCAGTAGTATGGTCCGCCGATACCATTGCCTTCTTTGGAATGTATGCATGGAAGGTATGATATGCATACTTTAATTTATTTCTTCCTTCAAGAACATTCATAGAGTTGATGCTCTTACTTTGATAGTCATTTTGAAATATGATGCTTTCTGCAGCTGGGATGGCTCCAGAAAACAGAGTAGCTGGGGATTCAACATCTCTTCCTTTTCTTGTTTGGATCGTTTGATGCAGATGAGACAGTAACAATGCTTAGACCTGCAATTGAATTGCCTTACTACACTACGGGCATGGAGATAGCTCGCGGTGATTGCACAGCAGGAGGTGCCTTCTGTCAGTAAGATGGAGATGCCTGTCTTTTCTTGTGGAGTGTAATGACAAATCCATCTTGATTTTATTGACTCTTATCCCGGGGGCTTGCTAGCTTCTCGTCTTCTCTTATTTTATGAAGTGGATTCGATTCACTGTAAGTGATACCATGTACACGATACCTTTGCTAAAAGACGTAACATGACAGTTCATTAGCAAAATAGACCTGGAAAACGATAAACCAGCATATTCATGGCAGGAGGCTATGCAATTTGGCTGTTGGAAATCTGTGTAAATGTGGACTGAATGGCAAATTGTATAGATCGTTTTACCTTTATCATGGGTGTTCTGTTTTCCCTACAGATCTAACAAAAAGAATGGGAGTTACATTTCTTTTCAAAGGGGCTTCTTAAATTCTATCAAAAAGAGACTAGGCACTTCAAGCATACTTGAAATAGAGACGGGTGAAAAATTAAACACCAAAACAAAGTTCTGTTTGTTGAACTGGTTCGTGAAAAAGCTCCAGATAGAATGGATGAAGACCAACAGTATGATAATACAGGGACTAATGTAATTTAGCATCACAAGCTGTAGCATGTTTATAATTATAAATAGTACAAGCTCAATGACCTAGCCCTCTGTTGTGGGAGGAAAATGCTCTTTCAAGGGATAAGCAGGACACCGCCATATTCACATTTTGGGTTGGTATTGTGAGATCAATTGTATCCATCAGGATCCCTTCACATTCACCCACATAACCCAAATGCCGACTAGTATTTTACCATCAGTTACTTCCTGCAAAGTCCAGCTGTACAAACAAGTTCCAAAACAAGAATCAGCAGGGGAACCAACAATGCAGCAAGCAATGACACAAAGTAAATGAATGCAATGGCCGATTATTGTAAATATCTGGTGGCTCAAAGAAGAGGTTATGTTATGCTTATGGACCCCTAAATCCTCCTAACTGCAACACTAAAATATTTCAAAGAAAACTAAACTTGTCATGCTCAGCTATCTCACAAGCTACCAAACATGCTGTTAGCATGGCACTACCATAAACAAAGGTAATGGGCACTAAAATGCAACGGGAACTAAAATGCTATCAAAGTTATTCCATGAAAAATGCATTACAATGCAAAAGGCAGCATGAACTGGCTGAGCTTATCTACAACTTTTAGGGAAGAATGTTCAGGAATTGTTATTTCCAATCTCTTATAGCTGTACCAGGGACTTGTCATAAAACAATCTTCAGACATTGAACATGCAGACATACAGTTAGTTTAGACCCTTGTGTAGTTTTTTATCTCTAAAATCTGCTACGCCAATGAAATCATGATGGTTTGCATGTGTTTTAAGAATCGGATTCTAATTCATCTTACATGAACATCAATGATATTAGAGTTCTCAAATGCCTTAAATTCTCAATAAAAAAATTCTTGCCTTTGAAATTGCATCTACTCAACATGAAAATCAATTTCATGAAGCCAAGATCCTCCAATGCAGACCACTTCTTACATCTGACTAATAGCTCTAAATGTGCTCATCATCACTGTCATCATAGTCAGAAGCAGAATCTTCACTCCTTGGTTCCGTCAGAGTATTCATGTCAAATGATGGCATCTCCATCTCCTCCATGTCAATAGTGTCATACTCCATTCGTTGCTCAAACTTCTCATCAGAGCAGTTAAGGAGCCATGAAAGTGAACACTTCATGCCCTTCTTTGCAACCCTCTTATGTCTTGGTTTTATAGTGGACTCCAAACCATATGTAAAGAAAGCAGGGAAAGTAACCAAATCATCCAAAGGTCTTTCCATCACGACTTGGAAGTAATCAAAACTGTGTTTCATAATGTCAAGATTCAAAGCAAGCAAATGGGGACATCCCACAACCATTGCCCTCACTTGTTGCAACGAGAATCCACAGTCTTTAAGGAAATCCACATGTTTCACAATAGGTAGTCTACTAAGGCTGACAACCTGTGGCATCTTCTCAACAACTCTGCCAAAGTCCTCAGGGCCCAAATCAATAACTGAATGAAGTAAACACTGTTGACCCCGAAGTTTTTCATTCAGCTCAATTCCAATAATCTCAGGATATTGTGCTACCACAGAAGGAAGTGAGGATTTTCTTACATTAAACTCTAAAAGGGATCCAACATTTGGTTTCACCTGTTCCTCTAATCCAAAACCAAGGATGTGAGGTCGCTTTTCTATCAATCTAGCTACAGCTAGTCTTGGTATGCCCAAGCTTTCAAGATACTCCACAAAAGGCTTGATCACCCGTCCTACTCGCATCCCCAAAATCTCTGGGTATCTAGTTAAAACCCCTCCAACTTCTCTCCTTGCTAACCCAATTCCTACCAAATAAGCCACTGATGTGCTCATGGTCCCTTCAAGCTTGAACCCCAGAATTTCAGGATATCTCTCAAGCACCCGAGGGACATCATTTGGCTTGATATCCATTCCTTGAAGATATTTGACCACTGGATCTAGATCTACAACAACACTAGCATGAAGGACTTGGGGATATCTTCTTAAGAACTCAGTGAAAGTGGATTTCCTAACACCCAATTTTCCAAGATAGTCAAGCACCGGAATCATGTTCTTCTTCACACTGCAACCAAGCACAAGTGGGTAGTTGTTGATGTCCTCAATTGTGAGACCTAATTTGTGAAGGAAATCAACACGTTCCCTCATAACCTCAGTAGTCACAGGAAGTTCCAACCCATCAAGTTCATCAGGGACAATACCAATTCCCCTTAAGAATTCATAAACCTTGGCACGATTTGCTATCTTCTCATTTTTCATTTCCAGCAAACTAGGTCGACTATAGAGGGATGAAGAGCTTCTTTGCTTCCGACCCAAACGAACATTACCTGTGTTGGATAGAGATGAACCCACAGAAGTTGATTCAAACGTTCTCTCAGCAACATAACACCGAAATCTTGTGACCCCAGTCCTCTTCATGTCATTACTTGGGATTCTAAGAGTTGATATAGAGTTTAGCTGTAGTTTGCAATAGACGAGAACAGGTAACTCTGGATGTGCAAGCAAAAAACTAGGTCTCGTAATGCCAGCATAGCTTACAATCGTCATTATAGGTTTGTAGCGTCAACCAATCTGCAAAGAGACATTGCGACTCATGAGCTGCAAATGAATGCTATTTCAAACCACAACTTAAACCATTCAAACAAGGAATATTTAGCCAAGCTCATTCAGAATAAACACATAACCTTGAAGATTTAGCCGAATTCATTCAAAATAAACACATAACCTTAGGGATTGTGGGAATAAATCCTAAATGAAAGGCCCAGAAGAAAAAAAAGAGGAGGAGGAGGAAGAAAGCACAGCATTTAAAGGCTTCAGCATAAGCATCATATCAAACAATGAGATAAAGGTAGAACTAACGGTCAAGTGGACCGAAAAGAAAAACATAAATCTATATACAAATTAACAAACCCATCATATAAGACTCAAAATCCTAAGATTAACAGCCTAGAAAAAACAGAGAAATAATACCTATTAGATTCACTGTACAAGCAACAAATGAAAACCCTAAAGGAACTTAAAGCTAAGAGGAAGAAAATGTAGCAATAGTAGTAGTAAGCTTCAGCATTCTATGTTTTACTTTCCTGGTTTTTCTTCATTATTAACGACTATTTAGAAAAAGAAGTAGTGAATAAATTAAAAGAATTGTCCGAAGCTTAAATAACGACCTGTGAGCTGAACTAGAGTGAGCGATGCCCCCTGCTTTGGCTTCTTCCTTGAGACCTGATAAAAGGAAGAGGGTAAGGTTTTCGAGTCCGCCACGATCACACCCCTGCTTTTGTTTCTTTTATAGCCCTTTCCATAACTTGCAAACTAGCCCCTCTGGATTCTAGGAATTACTTTATAGCCCTAACATCTTTCTATTTTCACAATGGACTCTTACAACCATGGGGAGAGACCCGATTGAGACTGAGACTGAGACTGAGAATAGACAATTAGATTAGGGACTACATTGAGGTTTGTCTTGGATATGTTTTAGATCAGGTCAGTTAAAAAATTTATTTTCCGAAAAATTTAAATGGAGTGATTTCCAAAAAAAAAAAAAAAACCTTTGGATTCGGTCAATTTCCTTAATTCATGTTCAAGATTTTGAGTTAGTTCCATCCTGAGTAGAGTATTGTAGCTATAGATTTCAAACCCCATATTGTTTGTTTTGTTTTTATATTTTAAAAGTTTTTTATTTTTTATTTTAAATTAATATTTTTCTATATTTTTAAATTATTTTGATATATTAATATTAAAAATAATTTTAAAAAATTAAAAATATATTATTTTAATATATTTTTAATAAAAAAATACTTTAAAAAACAACTATAATTATACGGTATTTTCTTTTCCTTTATTAGGAAAATCTAAATGGGGACAAGTTCTTTCTCTATGTCTAGAAGCAGTAAACATAGGAAGAACATGAGAAGGAAAGTAGAGATAAAGAGAGAGTTCTGCAAATTTTACACAGAAACTACAATTTGTTATAACTTGTCTTCCTAGTTTCACACATTGTAATGTTTATCCTTCACCGACTAACTACCTTTTCTATTAACTAACAGCTTTTGTTAACTGCCCTTCCAACTAACTCTAACTACCAACTAACTCCCACCACGTACGTGGAATTATTAACAATCATATGTTGAATGTGTATCAGTCAGGCTCAATTGTGTTCCTCTGGATTGGGAAAATTATAATGATGGGAAGGTGATGGGAAAAGAAAGTATTGAACTAAATTTTAAAAGAAATTGTTGTTTATCAATATTTTACATATATTAGATATAAAGAAAAATCTTGTATATGCAAATTTGTTTATGAAATGTTTTAGAGCCAAATAAATTTATTTTGTACAAAAATAAATTATTTGTGAAAAAGAACTATTTGTGCGATGGAATGTTTAAAACTTGTATTAATAATAAAGTTAATCTCTAAAATTAAAATAAATACAAATTTATTAAAACTTGTGCATTATAATATATGTAAATTGAATGATATTTTAATTAGAGGAGGAAAATGATATTTGATAAATTTTACTAATGATTGTTCAAAATATACTTATGTTTATTTAGTGAAAAATAAATATTAAGCTTTTTAAATGTTCAAGAATTATAAATTAGAAATTGAAAGTTAAAAGAGGAAGAAAAATAAAATTCTAATAAGTAATAGAGATGGTGAGTATTTTTTTCATGGAGTTTTCTTCATTTTGTAAAGAAAATGAAATCATACATCGAATTAGAACTCCATATGCATCTTAATAAAATGGCTTGGTGAAAAAAAAGAATAGAATATTTATTGATATACTTAATTCTATATTAGTGAATGTCAAATTTCTTAGTAATAATTTATTAAAGGAGAGTTTTATTCACTGCTTGTCATATATATAATAGAATTCTTTCCAAAAAATTAAAAGTTTCTTCATATAAATTATGGAATATAACAAAATCAAATTTAAATTATCTTAGAGTTTAGGATTGTTTTGCTTTTTATAGAGTTTTGAATCCAAAATGGATGAAATTGAGACCTAGAGCTTTAAAGAAAAATTTTGTTGTTTATGTAGAAAATTCAAAGATATATAAAATAGATTCAAGTTCTAATATAATTGTGAAATCTAGAGATGTTGAGTTATTGAAAATAAATCTTACACTAATTCTAATTTAATTAGTGAATAAATCAATAATTTTGAAGTTCAAATAGAATCAACAAATAATGTAGGTTTTAATCCAAGTTCTAGTTCTAGAAATAAAAAAATTTAAATGAATCATCTTAATGAACTAGGATGAAGCCAGCATGCTAGAAAAGAAAGGAATTTACATCCAGGTTATATATCTCCACAATTTACTGTTTTCTTAATTAAAGGAGGCAGTATAATTTATGTGTTTAATAAGATACTAACTTTTTTAATAGTAGAACATGCATAAAGGTAATGACCTCTCGAGATATTACACTACCCAAAACTTATTACCAGCTTACCATACCAAATAATTCCTATCGTGAAGAAAATATTTACTACTCGATCGTTATTTTCCATTTCTTATTATTTTTAAAAAATGAAAAAACAAAAAACTTGTTTTTCCCCGCGAATCTGTATTCCGGATTATGTTGTGGAATATTTCGGCAAAAGATCGGTATTTAGAGCCGTTGAAATTTGCTCATCGGTTTCAGATGTTCATGTGAGTTCTGAGCATTTTTGTCTGTGATACTGGTGTTGATCTAATCGATATAGTATTAGTTCTGTTAATGTCTTGATTGGACGGGAAATGCTTGTAAAAACAAGACCATATCTTTTTTAAGAATTGTCCAGCAAATTTTCTGGACTTTTGTAGACAAGTTGTAATGACGATTATCTGTTTTGTAGACAAGTTGTAGGTGGATGTTTGGCTTCAAACATTTTCTTCAGGCGCAGTCGCAACAAATCCACAGGCACTCTTGTGAACAAGTGTTGTCGTCATGAAGGAAAGTGGCTCTCTATGTATTTCATAAAACTCACATGAGAAATTTCCTGGAAAGCCTCGGAATTTATTTTACCTTTGACAACAGCACATTCCATATCCCTGTCGATGATGCTAACCGGGTGAACCTTTCTACAGCAATTGCTTCTGGATAGATGCATCTACATGAAAAAAAACTGTTTATTTTTATTAAGATTGAAAAATAAATCCACAAAAAGCAGGATAGTCTTTAGTTAGCACTCTCTTTCCGTTTGCAGCAATGATTAATTCCATACTCGCCCTTTTAACAATTTACTGCTTGCAAATCCTGAGCTATGAGCAAGTGATTGCAACTTGGCAGTGCTGTTCTTGACACGAAAGAGGGTTGATGCTCCTGCTCCTGGCTTTCTGGGTGAAAACCCTATTTAGTCTCACACTTAAGTCTTCTTGTCAACATGTTTGAAATTATCGTTTGCTGATTGCTGATGATCTGGAATACCGATGAACATGAGGCTATGCAAGCGCTTGCCATAACATCTCGCCCACAATTCAAAGTGCATGCAATTCCTTTTCTCCATCCCCTTATCTTAAAAGTTACCAACGAATAATGATGTTCTGCTTTTCCTGTTTTGTTTTTCTTGTTCAAATAGCAGATGACAAGCTTCTACTTAATCTTATCAAGTCAAACCATTTGCATTTTTAGTCTCATCATCCACACTTTATAACTTCTACGATTCCCTGTAATCTCCGCCCTCAGATAATCTTTCGAGTTGCTATTCTATTCTACTGCCAATACTTGTGCGTTTTATAATTTTTAATTAAATCATCTTCATTCTTGCTATGACATTACCACTCCCTTGTAGATTTGGCCTTCTACATTTTATTCCTTGGTGGTCAAAACATCGTGGCAACTTTCAGAAGCTATTTCCACATTCATAGAAGAGGTATAATTCCAGCCTGATCTGGCAGGTCTTTTGGTTTATTATTCCGAAAGAAGCCACCCTTTCTAGAAACACACAGTATTGGGCTGCTCTTTTATGATATTCCTTTCGCTTTCATGTTTTAGAGGATGACTTATTCTCCAGCATGCTTTTGTATTTCTTCTCAGTCAGATTCTCTTAACTAAAAAGAACAAAATTTCAGTGACACGTTTCATATAGGTGCATCTTGAACTTACAATTTCCAACGATTACTCTGTTTTCCATGATCTCAATTAGGTGGTGTATGTGTATTTTTCTTGGTCATAAAGTGAGTGGCTTTGGCGTCAATTCTCGTTTGGGTTATACATACAAAAATAAGAAGCTTCTTTAGCACTTTCATCATAACATTATTTCCAGGTTCATATATGAGGACTGGTTCAAGCCCCGTATTGCTGCGAAGTTGAAGTTGCCCGTCTTTTGGGATGATCAATGCCTCCAAGCACCTCCAAAAGATGAACTTTGAAACCAACACATTCCTGTGCGCATTGCAAACATATCAGATGAAAAATAAAAGGTAGTACACTTTGAAGCTTGTACATGCATAATCTATACCAGATTGGTATGTGGTGGGCAATTGGCCTTGATGTTTTTAGTTCTGCTGTATGGTTTCCAAGTCCCATCGCAAATATTTACATTGGATCTTCCAAATGGTAAGTTATTGGCTCATTGAAGAGGCGCCATCAAACTCAACTAGGATATTAATTCTGCTCACCAGCTAGTTAAGAGGCTGTGAAGGGCATAGCTTATCTCATAACAGTAGTTGAGTGTATATTTGTGATTATCGTAGAGTTCATTCTGTATCCACACGCATGCATGCAAGTAGGGAGGAACGAAAAATAAGAAAGAAAATGATTGATTGTGAATGATCAAGGTTTGTTAAACTATCATTTGGTCAAATGATAAATTGCCCTGATTCGGAGCAGCAATTGTTCAAGTCCGTTCTTTCCCCACAGCCTAATTCTCCAACTGTATGAAAAGGAACATTGATCTCCAACAATACTTTGGTTTTCAGATGACAGTGTCACCCTTTCCTCTGTCATCGAAGTTCGTCGTTCAGCTTCTCTTTCTGCTACCAAAACATGGAACTCCGACCCAAGCATCTCATCTACTGCAAGATTCAGCGTGCTGCTCAAATTAATGGTCTCCAATATAGAGTTAAATTAAAGCCAGACAGGGATGGCATTTGTATTGGATTTGGTGTGCTGTTGCTCAGTATTGTTTAGTGGGGCCTCTGAAATATTGTCCCTGGCATCCACATGTTCACCAACCCAGACGGCCCCATTACAGTCAAGTATCAGGTCGCCTCCGTAGTGTTCCAAATTTTCTGGAAATGATGTTTCTGTTTTTTCCCTAGATAGCTAGGGACTGTGAGCAACTGGCCCATCTCAAGCTGTAATGCATAAAAATATCACTGTTAACGATAATAATAGCATTAAACGAACACCTTCTGACATACCATGCAGACAGACAGACAGACAGACAGAGGGGGGACACCTACAGTCCGGTCAGCTGACCAGACGGATCAGATGCTGTCCAGGCAAGTCTGCTGGGCCATAGCACAAACAGGCAAGACCAGACAGTTGTCAGATCAAGTCCGTTGGGCCGTCGCCTAACAACCAAGACCATTCGGCTTGTCCCAACCAGATAGCTACCCAACCAGGGAGCTGAGCAACCTGTCCCTCTCGTTTTAGACCCTGATTGTAGACGTCGTGTTTTTTTAAATGATTGAATTTTTTTTTATTTCAAGTTTAATTTTTATTTTATTTTTTTAAATCATATATTAAGATTCAAAATAAATTTTCAAAAATAGAAAATACAATTTAATATATTTTCAAATAAAAATCAGTTTAAAAAACAACCAAATAATATCAAATACTATCAAATACTTAATCATTAAATAAATGAAGGGAGAGAAAGCTAATCATTGAAGAGATGAAGAGAGAGAGAGCATTCTATATGAGCTATTTTAATGTATTTATAAATAAAAAATATTTTAAAAAAATAATTATTATCATATTAAACACTATAACTAGTGACTTGACTAAAAAAAATATGAGATTTACTTTATTTAAATTTTTTATATATTACATATTAAGATAATTTATTTATTTCATTCAATTTTAAAAACATTTATTGACAGGGAATGTAAAATATAGTTTTTTAAACATGAAGATAAAATGAACAATTAAATTATAGAAGACTAGTGTAATTTTCCCTATTCTAAATTACCATCAAGGGAAATAAAGACAAGCAACCAACGAGCAAGTAATCTGTCTGTAAAAAAAGATTAAATTTCAATAACCTTAGTTGATACAAAATTCTACCCTCAACTAGAACTAATTCACACTGCTCAAACTTGAAGCTCAGCTGATCCTAGGGACCTAATGTACTGACAAAGATTAGAACCCATTCTTAGGGAGGAAAAAGAGGAAACGAATTAAAAAACTAGCTCTTCTGGCAGCTCGAGAGACTTTTTTGTACAATAAGAGAGAGCTCCTTCCTTCAGGAGAGGTGTATATGTGCGCCATGTTTGTATTTGATTCATATTGCTTTGGCCCCAGAGCTGCCTCAGGATAACTTCAGGCCGATTTCCCTTCAATACTGATACCTGTATTGGAAGCAGAAGCTGCTACATGTGTTTCGACTGGAGAGGATAGTGCAAGAAGGCGTCCTCTTTGGGCACGGGGTGGAAGATGTTTTGCAGGTTTTCTAGATCCTACAGCCCAGGGCAAGAAAACCCCTGTACCCCCATTGGGCATTCTTTTGGGACTCAAGACCATAGGGCGCATTGGAGCGAGCATTACCACTGGAGAACTAAGAACTCCCCAGTTAGGAGGCATTGAATCCATTGGCTCATAGCCATCAAGAGCTCCATTAGGCACTGGATATGGGCTCGGGATGCTAGGTTGCCATAGGGTCATGGGACTAGTTGGTGGTGACTGCACATGTTTGGATTCAGGACGCACTCTGAAGAAAGTTATGCTGACCCTTTTGTTTGAAGACGGGCACATGGCATGTCCGGCCATGTCAGCACTGTTTCCCCTCATCACTAAAAGAGACCTGCAATAATTCCAAAATCATTTCACGATCCAAACTTGTCCGTTGGAACATACTGATGGAAATTGACGACTCTCTCAGAAAATTTAGGTGAACATATTTCAGACAATGCAAGCTGACTTGTGTAGGATTGCAGCAAGACTTTCATGCTTTCCAGTCTAACAAAATTTTTGTCACGAAATGAACACACAGTAGAAAGTAAAGAGATGATTGAGGCAGAGGTCACAGATGGACTTTGTGAGATGCATTGAGATTTGAGAGCATTTACTTAACTTCAGCCTGTCAGACTATAGAGAGCCTGGTTACAAGATTAATGCCGCCTCCTTCTCTCAATGAAGTCAGTGTTACTAATAAAACTTATAAATGCCGAGACTTCTTAAGTTTCTAAGATTCACGTTGAAGAGCGTAATTTGAATGGATAATCAACACAATTTCAGAAAAGGAAACACGTGTTATTTTGAACTGGCATGTTTTTTAATGAGTAGAAATGACAGTTATTTCCAGAAACCAGAAGCATATAAACCACAATAAAGTTAGGTAACGCCACGTGTTGTGGGGTAAGAAGAAGAAAAGCTCCAGCATCATTATGTAGCTCCAATGCAAGGTTGTTCTTTCAAGAGAGTTTTTTGGAGTGGGTTTTTTTGTAAAGTTATGTTCTATCAGAAATGGGATTCCTGAATTTTTATAGTATGAACACGAGCCTAATCACTCTGAAACTAACAAATATCTATATACTCTTTGCACAAGTTTTGAAGGCATACATACCCTTTTTTCAGAAACAGGGAGAGCGATCCTCTGTAATTACCATCACTGTCACTCCCGAGAATACGCCCAAAGGCCATTGTTGATTCTGAGAGGATAAGAGTAGAGATTGGTTGGTCTAGATGAGGTGGCTTCAGAAAAGGTTGTGAATATTCCTCCTGCATCAAAAAAAGCATATATAATTCGACTTGCTTTTCCAGTATAATCTCTATACAGAGACAACGTGATGATTCAGAACAAGATAGAATGCCTACCTCATCAAAGAAATGGATGATGCATCCATTAGGTTTTTTATATTCTGGAATTAATTGCCATTGAACCAGGTGATCAATGACACCTTGGAGAAGAACTGGAATTGGCTCTATATTGCCTATGAAAATTAAAACCGCAATTACAAGCTGCTCCCATATAATTTTTCTGCGCAATTAAGAAAAGTTACATGATATCTTACTTGATGGGTTGTTACTTGCAGCTTCCTCTTTTATATGTCCAAAAATTGGAACCCCAAGCTGAATCAGCTCCCTCTTGTTTCCCTTCACCTGCTTGTTGAATAAAATAAAAGTCTCGCCTGCATCCAGTCGTCAAGAAGATTCACTTAATAATAGACAAAATCTTGGCTGTTAGCAAGGACAAGCTTTTCCATATTCGAAATGCGTGTTTAACCAACTTTGACATGTGCATTTAAGAGAGTTCGCTATCCCATTCCGGCGATTAGATCAAAGATCAAATGACCGCTAACTCACGGCAGTTAATGGTGTAAGAGAATTTTCGTGAAAATTCAAAATGGTCCTAGCGTACGTCCTCAGGGCACATTCTATTAAAAAACTGAACGCGGCTACATTTTATAGAAGTAGCAAGAAGAGAGAGGTCACCTGAGAGTTCACCATTCTGGCCAGCAACCCGGAGTTCGTTGACGAAATCAGTTAACTTAGAGAGCTCAGAATCAGTGAATATTGACTCGTATAACTTCAAACCTTTCACAACATTCACCTGCCAGGTGTAACATCTCTCAATCAATAACAGCCGGCTGCATTTTTATTTTTGAAAATTCCAGCTTCTCTAAGGAAACAATTTTTTTGTTTTCTAAATTTTGAAAGAAAGAACTCGCCGTATGCCCTTTGACATGCTCCTTGGCTGTGAATCCTTTTGTCAGCTTGATTTGAGAAGGACGTACGCCGCAGTCTTCATGATTGGCACATATGTCATCGTCATTCTCGCTAGCAGGCTTCACTTCTTGAGATCCTGCATTCCCAATTCAACAAGAAGAAAATTAAAATGGACTTTAGATAATATATATATATATATATATTTGCATTAAATATCTAATCAATGATGTTATTAAACTATATCACCCCCCCCCAAAAAAAAAAAAAAAATCTCCGCTTTATTATTTAAATTAGTAAAGGTTGAATTTTGGTTCAACGCTCCCAAATTCCATCCACCATTTGACTGGACAGTCTTAAGGCAGGGAGGTAGGTAGGTCATTTACGGAGTCCATCAATCAACTGTTAAGAGTAATTTGAGAAATCAACTTGTGAACCTGTGACAATAACAATATATAGATAGCTGTTATCTCGATTCATTTTTTTTTTAAATAAGAAATAAAAGGGTCAAAATACTGGAAATTTCATTGCACGAGATGATTCTGCAAGTCAATTGGGTAGAGCCCACATAAGACATCGTAAAAATAGGTTAAAAATAAATAAATTTAATAACTCCCCCTGTGTAAACGAAGAGCAATAACTTTTTTCCACCTCTAAATGCATTCTGTTCTAGTATCCCGTAATAATCAAGTGATATACTTCAATTGTTTACTCTTACCACCGACAGAGACAGCATGCATTTATTAATTTATGCCTTCATTTCTTAACCAGCTACTATTTAATGAATGGTCACTTCGCTCTCTTTTTTACTAGTAATTATGCAATCGATTTCACACTCCTCCCTTCTTCAAGACTTCAGACTTCAGACCATGTGGGCTTTTATCACGTACCACCTTTTTCCTTCCACGACGGCTGGACACACTCTCTAGATTTCGTGACAAAGCTGTCACTGTCCAAAATTGTTCTAAACCCTACCAAATATATGACCACGCAAATCTGCTACCAGAGACGCAAAATAAATAAACCAATAAATAAAACAAAAGTAAAATAAGAGTGCCGCACTATGGGAGATTCGAATATTCATCGTCTAGGCTGCCCAAACCATATTTTAAACAACCAGTTTAATCTGGTTGCTGGGATTAGATTAGAGTGAGTTTATGAAAAAAAATTTAAAAAAAAAGTAAAAACAGTAAAAAAAACGGTTGACTATTTATTTTTTTACAAAAATAACATCTTTTTGCTTTATAGAAAAAAAAAAGAGATTAATCTAGAATGTTCTGGTCATCTCATTAAAACTCTTAACTCGGTATAGATTATCAGGACAGATTTAAAAACTAAAGCGCAAAAACCAAATGTTCATTGGATGGCCGATCCCATGAAATTGGAGTTGGACCGGCAACTCGGAATTTCATCAAATACAGTTACAGCTAACAACCTCCCCAGAAAAATTTGTCAAGGAAAACTCTCAACAACCCAACAATAATAGCAGGTACGCACGCACGGAGTCATGCATGACGTCACTAAGAAAAATCGGACGGTCACCATCAGCCGCCGCCTGCAATAAATCATTGCACGCATCTCCAGGAAAGGTAGCGTAAGGTTATTCGCTACTCCCAAAACTAACTGTAACTTCGGCTGCAGAGAAGCTTTCCCCCCCCCCTCATTGGAATTCTCGATACAAACCCCACTAAAACCTCGAGAGAATATCAATCACGTCATTATATATAATATTTTTTCTGAAAAACAATTAAATAAATAAATAACTGGAGTGTTTGATATTTAATTTTCTTTTTACTTTACCTGTACTTCGAATCAAAACATGTCAAGGGTGGCCAAAAATCCAAACGGAATTTTGTTCAATTCAAAAGTCATAGAAAGCAGTAGAACAGGGAAAGGGAGGGTTTGAATCTCGGATCTGACGCAGAAAAACATGCTTCTTTTAAGGTGTTCGGCAATGTGGGTAGTTTTTTAAAGTGGTGTTTATTCAAAAATATATAATAATAATATTTTTTATTTTTAAAGATTTATTTTCAACAACACAAGTTAAAATAATTAAATAATATTAAATAAAAAAATAATTAATTTCTATTTAGACCGCAAGACGAGGATTTATATTCTTGATAAAACAGAGAAAAATAAAAACAACAATGTAAAAAAATTGTCATTGACCATCACTCTCCATTTTTTTATAATTATAACAAAAAAGAATCACGTTGGTATCTTTTTCGCCCGTACTCCTAGCAACCCAAACAAGCTGGCTGATTGCAATTATGAACTCTTTCTAGTTTTTACTGGTAATTAAACAAGAAAACGATTAATAAATAAAAAATGAATTTGCGCTGGCGCATCGTTGAAGTTGCCAATAAAAAACAAAAAGCAAACAAAAAGATTTATTTATTTCTTTAAACAAACAGAAAATATATAAGAATCCGATTTTCTGTCAACTTCCACTATTATCAGCCGATTCCCCCTCAAAATTCCCCAGGACAATTACCAAATCGATAAAAACAGGGGAGATAAAAGGAAATTCATATGGTTGAATATACGGTAGAGAGAGAATAAGAAAACAAGAAGGTAAATCTGGGAAATGAAAAGATCAGATTATACTTACCTGAATCAGTAATATCACTATCAGGTGAATCCTCCTCCTCTTCCTGAGCAACATGACCATTTTCCACGCTTATTTTTACTTTCTCATCGCTGAATTTATCAGTCTCCACGTTTCCGAATGATGCTGCTTCCAGTTTTGTCTCAGCCACTCGCTTTAGCTCCAGAGCCACGTCTGCAATGGAGTGGTACTTCTGCATCTGGAGCACAGGGATCCAGTTAAGCCTCCTCCCATGAATGGCCGCGAACACCGCCTCGTACTCGGATCCTGCATCCAGCTGTGCCAGGTGGCTACACAGAGCATCGATTATGGCGTTAGCCGCTGCGAATTCCCCACGAAACCAGGCAAGAATAGCGTCCTTGGCAATCGTGTCCGCCATCATCATCGGCACCGGCACCACTGGTGGAGTACCTTGATGATCCGTCGGCGATACTGCTCCTGCCGCCATTAGCCCCGCTGATGTTCTTAACTAGATTGTAAAGAAACAATCGTTTCCTTTTAAATCTACCAGCTATCGGATTTTATGAAGAGTCTGCCGGCAGAGATATCGGTGATGGGGAGTATATATCGGGTTGACAGAATAAGATGGAGAAAGGGAGAGGGGCAGGTGAGAGAGAGGGCTGTCTCGCGTGTAAGGGTAGGCTTTATGGGGCGGACCTGTGACATTTTTATCATAAACATAAAGGATGGTTCGTGCCAACTCCGTACGTGTGGGGATACGTTTGTGTGACGTGGCATAATTACAATGATCGTTACTAGGAATTCTGATTTGCAAGTTGAAAGTGTATTTTGACAAGCACTGGAAATAAAATTACTTCTTCTTTTCACCGTTCGTTTATTATTTTATTTGGTTTACGCACTAATCAATAATTTAATACTAAATCTCTTTTAAAACAATTTTAAAAAATGTATTTTTATATTATAACACTGTTTCTAATTAGAAATTAAATTATAAAAGATTGGTTGAGAATTATATTTATATTAGAAGTTTAGGTCATGATAAAAAATTATTTTATCTTTCTATTTTACTTTAATTTTATGTATAATATTGTTGTAATTTTATTTTCACTTTTATTCTTTTAATTTAATTGAATTAAATTTATTTTTATTTTATTTCAATTTATTGTATAATATTGTTGTAACTGTGTCTTCACTTTGGTTCGCTGAAGTAAATTTATTTTAAACTTGAACCTAATTCTAAGTTTGACTTGGACTGGATTTATTAATTCTTATTTGTTCTCTATTCTAATTTATTTGAAATAAAAATGGGGTTGGAGTGAGAGAGATATTTAATTATGTTCCTAGTTTTTTTCATTTGGGCTGGAATATTTTTAATTTTAGGAATTATCAGTCAATTGATCATGTTTGTTACTTAAAAAAAGTCACGATTGTCCTTAATTAATTGTCAATAATTCAAAATAAATATTTTCAAATAATAATTATAGCCAAATAATTTATTAATTTTCGTTTATTAAGTTATGAGAGTCATCCAATAATTCTCATACATGTTTCGTATTAAGCCACCGTTTTTCGTATTAAGCCACCATTTTATTTTTGTGTTTAGATGGATTTAACAAAAAAAAATATTTTAATACAATAATATTAAAAATAAAAAACAAATTAAAAAATATTTTAAAATAAAAATAAATTTTAAAAAACATATTACACCATAACATAAGATCAATTGCTAACCAAAAAAAGTCACAATTATTTAATATAAACTCGAAAACAACATAACTAAATCATTTATAAACAAACCATAACAAACAAAATAATTAACTCCAAAACTGTGAAAAAACAAAAATAAAAACAAAAATCGATTACTTGCTTCTTCTAGCAACTGGCTTCAAATCTCATTAAGATGTGGCAACCATGTTGTTCTTTTTCGAGTTCAATTTAAACTGAACTCACTGAACTACCATGGGGTTCATGGATGGAAATTCTAGACCGTTAATTCCCGATCATTATATTTGAACCTTGATCATTTATTACCATCTCAAATGCAGTGAAAATTTTATCTTTTGAATGTTTACATGGAATCAACAATTAATAAAGTATGAGAATACCATGTTGCAATTAAATCTGCATGTTCATCTTGGTAATAATCATGGATAGCTAAATCAAGGATTAATTATTCATGCACCACAATTCCCGTGACCAAGGCAAGTTTTTTTTTATATATAAATATAAATGTCTAGATTATCTTATGTATAATTCAACTACTCCTATAAAATTTAATAACTATATAAATTTTTAATAATTTAAAAAACTTAAATTTATAATTATTAAAAAATAAATTCAAAACCTAATAAATTCAACTCTCTCTATACATAGGAGGTAAACAAACCCATTTTTGTCAATGGACACGAGAAAGCAGGCATTGCAAACATGGAAAGCGTGGTAGATGCCATTCCCATGTGGGACCTCAAGAAACATCATCGATGGAGGATCGTGGTGGTGGAGGGCTCCATTCCTCCTCTATTGCTGGCTCATAGACGAGCTAGGGAAGGTGTGTTGAGGGTCACATCAAATAAAACAAGAGCGGGTTGGTGCGTGCGGCTTGGCTTGGTCTCGTGTGATCTGTGGTGGCCACTATTAGGGCATTTGCACACAACAGTACAATATCTTTACCACCTTCCCAAAAGACACCCCCGGTCCGAAAAGACGTAATGTCCGAGGGCCTAAAAGCCATTCCCCTCTCTCTCTCTCTCTCTCTCTCTCTCTTATTCCATACATGGCATGGTGCCAACCTCCTCAACTTTATTTAATTTAAAGAAGGGGTTTAAAAGATTTTTGCTGTCTTATTCCAAAGTTCTGCACAGAGGCAAAGGGACACTATAAATTAATCTTACGTTGTTAATCACTCCCACTTTTGTTCTGTTCTCCTGCATCGCACGGCATTTCATTTATGCCATACATGACGTTATATAATATCAACAACTAGATGCCGGTTCGCTCTTCTAAAAATGCTTGGGTCTTCCTCTTGGATTTTAAATAGCTTGATAATTTGAATTAATTTTAGTATTTAGCATTAAGAATCAAACTGAATTCAATCTCTAAAAAGATCAGGTTTTAATGTTAAATTTAGTTTTTTTTAAAAAAAATAATATCCATTTTTTAAAGATGTTTAAAGAAATAAAATGAAGGTATAATAAAAATAATATAGGAAACAAAATTGAATTTAATCAAGTACTATAATTAAATTCAATCACAGCAGAGAGAATTGATTCAAAACAACTCGTAAATAGATGTATCTCTCGTGAATTTATCGAACAAATCAAGTTTACTTAGGAAGATGAATAAATTCAAAGAGAATAACTTATTTTATGATCATGTGTACATGCATTAATTTGTAATTACATGCACAGATTTTATTTTATTTTCGTTTTTGGAAGCATCATAATAAAGTCAAGAGGTGGCCCTTGAATATTGCAAGTTTCAAGATTATAATCCAACTCGTCATTATAACAATTACAACAATGCTACAAGCTTCCATTTTCCAGCGGTCCTCAAAATGACAGCATAGAATATATATATAAAAAAAAAAAAAAGTAGACGGGATATATTCTCTCAAGAAGGGATCAAACGATACTTTTGGGCATAAACATCTCCTCCCTTCATGTGTCTGCACGGAAGTTTAAAAGAGAAGGAAAATTTCTCGTTTTTCAAAAAGGTGGCAACGGCATCCGTGAGAGGATAGAGAGGACTTCCTCCCTTGGATTTACTTTAGCTTTGTTAGATTCTTAGTTAGATGACAACCAGAATCAAAACAGAGAGAGAGGAGGGGGAGGGGGGCGGGGGGGTGGTCTTGTGGCTAGTTCGGAAGCGACAAGCAAGGCAAGCTGACCTTTAAGATAGTGGGACCCGAATAAAGAAAGGGCCTGATTCCATTACCATTTTAAAGCAAAGGTCAAGGATGCAATGCAAGCACACGAGAGGCCCATGTTAAAAGCTCCCCTTAAAAGTGAGCCGAGTGGATGGAGATTATCCCACAACTTGCGTCCATGAGTTTCTTTCTTTTTGAACTTTTAGTGCAAAATAGCGCTGTTGAAAAAAAAAATTAATTAAATGCGTTGCTCTTGGTTTTATTTGTATTGGGTAAATATTTTTTTAGTTTTTTTATGTTTATATTCAGAGTGTTTATTTCACATCAAATATTTTATGTAAAAACTGACTGATAAAAAATGTTTTTACTATCAATGTTTAAATTTAATTTTATTTATTTATTAAAAATTATTTTTAATTTATAAAGTTATGTAAAATGTTTTAAAAATAATAATTAATTTATAATATCATTCATCTATTTTAATATTCTTTATTATTATTATTTTTTCATTATCACTAAGATCATTATATCGTTGCCGTTGCTATCTTATTATTATTATTATCATTTTTTTACCATTTGAGAGGAAAATATTTTTAAGCTTTTACGTAAAACAAACAGATTTTTAATACCATGATTTTTTATTTCTTAATTTTTAAGACTCTGCGCTGCTAAAAATAGCTCAACTAAAAAAAAAGGAGGGGAGAGAGAGAGAGTAACACACTCTCGAGGATTAAAAAAATAAATAATAATTGTACTAATGAGAGTAGAAGTTGTCAATTGTTAAAGTACCTACTCTTGCCAAATCTTAGTACAAATGAATGTTGGGACAAATATGCAGTACAAGAATTACATAGGCTGCTCTCTTTCTGGTAACATGATCTATGAATTTCTTTTATATATATTTTTCATGGCAGCCCATCTAAAATTAACACAACTCTTCGAAACAAAATCTCTTTTGATTAATTATAAAAGGTATAATTTAACTAGTAATATTTTAAATTTATTTTTTAAAAATTACTAGTTTTAATATTATAAATTTTAGAATTATTAAAAAATTATATAATTATTAACCTTATGACATCAAAAAATTAATCAACGTATATATAAATGAGTCTATCCCACAAAATAAAAAATATATATTTTATTAAAGATTTAGTTTTAAATAATATAATCTTTTAAAATTTTAAAATTTCAATAAATTATGTTATTGAAGTATTGCAAATAATTGAACAATTCTATTTTTTTAATAATTCTTAGCTATGCTATTTTGTATATTATTTTTTGATATGAATGCTACTGGGAAGAGGAAAAAAATACCTCACATTCAGTTTTTGAATAAAACTATATAAGAAGTATTTAATTTAATTTAAAATATAATTTTTTTATTAACATTCATAATATTTCAAGTTTACATATATATAGAATACATATATTAAAAAAGTATTTTTTCTTACTTTTTTATTTTTATTTTTTCAGAATCTTAGATGATCTAGCTGTATTCTAAATATATTATATTTATATACATAAATAAGCATATTAAAAGTAATGTTTTGAACTCCTGCAAGCCAAGCCAATATTTTCTTCATAAGTCAACGTTTTTTTCTTTTCTATTCACAATCACAACCCTACACAAATATATTAAATTTAAAAGATATCTAAAAATATAATAATAGGTTGTTTTTTAAAGTATTTATTGTTTTAAAATATAATATTAATATATTAAAATTATATTAAAATATTAAAAATATATTAATTTCAAAAACAAAATACCACTACACAAGTCAATATTTTCTTCATAAGTCAATGTTTTGTATATTCTTTT